GTGGGATGGATGAGCCCACCCTAACAGATCTGAGCACTCGGGAGGAGGCTGAGGAGGAAATAGACTTCGAGAAAGGTGAGGTGGGGCTCCATGTCTTGGCCTTGAGGAGGAGCCCAGGGCTCCACTGATGGCCCTAACATGCCTTTGAGCAAACTGGGAAAAAGTATCCTTTCCATGACAAGTTTCCTGTCATCTCTTAGAAGACTGTCACGACAACCGTCCCCACCAGTGTCTATACCGCAGATGGCGACCTTCGGGTTTGTGCGAAGTACTACTTGCACGGCAGGGTGCATTGGCTCTGATTCTCTCTGTCTCTGTCTCTGTCCCCCAGATCTTCTTCCGGTTCCACCTGGCTTCAAGAAAGGCGTAGACTTTGCACCCAAGGGTGAGTTTCGGTTGTGTGGTGGGGCTGTCAGAGAAGGGTGCCCTCCTGGGGCGCAGAGGTGGACGTGACAAGGTTGCCTCTTACACCCTGCTCCTCAGATCACCCAGCTCCAGCGCCCGGGTTGCTCAGCCTCAGTCGTCTTCTGGAGCCTCTCGATTTGGGTGGGGGTGATGAGGACGAGAGCGAGGCAGTGGGACAGCCAGGACGTCCCAGAGGGGACACCGGTTCAGCCTCTCCCTGCAGCACTCCCCTGGCCCGAGCCAGCAGCTTGGAGGACCTGGTGTTCAAGGTTGGTGGTCCTGGATGGTGGCGGCAAGAAAGAAGGGACCTTGTCAGAGGGAGGGTGGTTGGCTTGGTTGGGTCTGAGGGGAAGAATGGCACATTTTTGGGGGGAGAATACAGCTCTGGCTGTATTTTTAACACGCCTACCCCTGACTTTTCCAGGAAGCATCCACAGTCGTATCCCCCCCAGAGCCTCCCAAACCTCCACCTCAGGAGCAGTGGGCCATTCCCGTGGACATCACGTCCCCCGTTGGAGATTTCTACCGCCTCATTCCCCAGCCAGCCTTCCAGGTACTGGGGCCTGGTCGTCACATGCTCCTCCATCTCTTGTCCCTGCCCTCCTTCCAGGACAGCCTTGGCTCCCATCCTCACCTCGCTCTGGCCTTGTCCCCTCTGCCCTGCGTACCCACGAGCAGGACGCGGAAGGCCCCCTCTTCTCCAGCCCGTCTCCCGTCTTTCCCGCAGTGGCCATTTGAGCCGGACGCGTTTCAGAAGCAGGCCATCCTGCACTTGGAGCGGCACGACTCTGTCTTCGTTGCGGCTCACACATCCGCGGGGAAGACGGTCGTGGCGGAGTACGCCATCGCCCTGGCTCAGAAACACATGACACGGTATACGCCCCTTCCCTCCCCTCGGTGAGAGCTTCAGGGGAGGGACTGGGACTGAGACCGGCTCTGAAGTGCTCTGCTGTGGGACTAGTGGAGCGAGGAGGCCTGAGGGGGAGAGGTTAGATCGGGTTGGTTTAGGAAGGGGCTGGGAGACAGAATGGGTGTGTGGCCTTGTCATGGAGGAGAGCGTGAGGGCAGTTCAGGTGGAGGAGGGGGCAGCTGAGCCTCTGGGACACGCTTCTAGGGTGCTGGTGTGGGCGAGGAGGCGCTGACCAGGAGGGACTAGCTAACTTCACGGCTTCTCCCCAGCACCATCTACACCTCACCCATCAAGGCTCTGAGCAACCAGAAGTTCCGGGACTTCCGAAACACGTTCGGAGACGTGGGGCTGCTCACCGGGGACGTGCAGCTGATACGCCCCTTCCCTCCCCTCGGTGAGAGCTTCAGGGGAGGGACTGGGACTGAGACCGGCTCTGAAGTGCTCTGCTGTGGGACTAGTGGAGCGAGGAGGCCTGAGGGGGAGAGGTTAGATCGGGTTGGTTTAGGAAGGGGCTGGGAGACAGAATGGGTGTGTGGCCTTGTCATGGAGGAGAGCGTGAGGGCAGTTCAGGTGGAGGAGGGGGCAGCTGAGCCTCTGGGACACGCTTCTAGGGTGCTGGTGTGGGCGAGGAGGCGCTGACCAGGAGGGACTAGCTAACTTCACGGCTTCTCCCCAGCACCATCTACACCTCACCCATCAAGGCTCTGAGCAACCAGAAGTTCCGGGACTTCCGAAACACGTTCGGAGACGTGGGGCTGCTCACCGGGGACGTGCAGCTGCACCCGGAGGCCTCCTGCCTCGTCATGACAACGGAGATCCTTCGGTGAGAGCCGGGCACCGACGCTGGGAAGCCGAGGCGGCCCAGAGGGCTGCTGGCTGGGGAGAGGGCGAGGGGGCCACTGGGGAGTCAGCCCTCGGCCTCCTCCCCAGCTCCATGCTGTACAGTGGCTCGGATGTCATCCGGGACCTGGAGTGGGTCATCTTTGATGAGGTTCACTATATCAACGACGCTGAGGTGAGGGGCATGGGGACCCCAGATTCTGGCAGTCCTCTCCTGGGGGACTGGTTGAGCAGCTCCCCCTTTTCCACACATCCTGAGGACCTCCCAGTCATCTTGGTCCCCGAACGGAACTGGGGCCACTTCTCTTGGGGCGGAAGGGCAGTGCCCTCTGTGCCCCGGTGACCTGTCGTCCCTCTCTGTGCCCAGCGTGGGGTCGTGTGGGAGGAGGTGCTCATCATGCTCCCCGACCACGTCTCCATCATCCTTCTGAGCGCCACCGTCCCCAACGCCCTTGAGTTTGCTGACTGGATTGGGTGAGACGCGTGTCCTGGGGGGTGTGTGGAATAGGGCCCTGGTGCTCCTTGGGGTGTGGAGGCTAAGACCTCCAGGGCCAGCCCAGGCCTGAGCGTGACTGAGGAGAAAGGGGGTGTGGCTAGCGAACCCGTCCCCTTGGGCGGCTATGGGATCCCGTGTGGGCCCAGATCACTTTGCATGTTGACACTGGGATGGTGGACGTGGCCGTCCATCTGGGTCCCAGAAAAGCCCAGGTGCAGTCGGGGGGTGGTGGGGGTGTGGGTCCTCCCTGCGCTGACCCTGACCTGTCGCCTCCTTCTGCCTTCAGGCGGCTGAAGCGTCGCCAGATCTTCGTGATCAGCACCGCTGCCCGGCCGGTGCCCCTGGAGCACTATCTCTTCACGGGGAACAGCCCCAAGACCCAGGGAGAGCTCTTCCTGTTACTGGACTCCCGAGGATCCTTCCACACAAAGGGGTGAGCCCGGCGAGGGGGAAGGAGCCAGGGCCGGGCCGCAGCTGGAGTGACGGCCGCCCTCCCTGCATTCCAGGTACTACGCGGCGGTGGAGGCCAAGAAGGAGAGAATGAGTAAACACGCCCAGACCTTCGGGGCGAAGCAGCCCACCCATCAGGGAGGGCCTGCACAGGTGAGATCGTGCCCACAGCCGCCTCTCCGCGGTCTGGTCTTCCCTCGTCCCCCCGAGTTTGAACGTGAGCTTTGAACCCTGTCCTGCCCGATGCTATGTCACCTCTTAGCTCGCCGCTTCAGGGACTCACCCTGCACGCCTCCCTCCTCCCCAGGACCGTGGAGTATACCTGTCCCTCCTGGGCTCCCTGCGCGCCCGTGCCCAGCTGCCCGTGGTGGTGTTCACCTTCTCTCGGGGCCGCTGTGACGAGCAGGCGTCGAGCCTCACCTCCCTTGACCTCACCACAAGTTCAGAAAAGAGCGAGATTCACCTCTTCCTGCAGCGCTGCCTTGCCCGCCTGCGTGGCTCTGACCGCCAGCTGCCCCAGGTGTGTGTGCCTGCCCGTGGGGCGGGTGGGGAAGGTTCCAGCACGCCATCCCTGACCTCGGGTCCCTCTCAGGTCCTGCACATGTCAGAGCTCCTGCACCGCGGCCTGGGCGTGCACCACAGCGGGGTCCTGCCCATCCTCAAGGAGATCGTGGAGATGCTCTTCAGCCGTGGATTAGTCAAGGTGCCCCCCCCGGGTGGGAGTGGGACTCCCCACGCTCTTTTTGCCCTGTTAGGGCCTGCCAGAGGGCCGAGGGACAAGGGTTTAGGCAGGACAGTGCAGTGGTTAGGAACTAATGAGTGAATGTATGAAGTAATGAACTGGAATGACTGTAGTGGCAGGGGTGGGAGCGAGAGATGGGGAAAAGGAAAGAAATAGGCAACTCCCGAAGTAAAACGAGGACAGTGGTCATGCCTGCCCGGCAGCTTTTCCAGAAAGTGAGACAAGATCCGCAGGAACAACCTGGACCAGGCCTTCTGCCTACTTAGCCTTGGCTACACAGCAGGGTGGGCTTGACCAGGGCCAGGCCGTGTGAGCCCCTTGACTCATCCTCTCCCCGTCTGCCCCAGGTCCTGTTTGCCACGGAGACCTTCGCCATGGGGGTAAACATGCCGGCCCGCACAGTGGTGTTCGACTCCATGCGCAAGCATGACGGCTCCACCTTCCGGGACCTGCTCCCTGGGGAGTACGTGCAGATGGCAGGCCGGGCGGGGCGGAGGGGCCTGGACCCCACCGGCACGGTCATCCTCCTCTGCAAGGCCCGAGTGCCCGAGATGGCAGACCTGCACCGCATGATGATGGTGAGTGGGGCAGGGCGGGTGGCGGCCCTGCTGGCTTCTCCCCCAGGCTTCTTGCTCACTCCTCTCCTGAGTCTCTCCTTTTGCCTGGGAGAAGCCAAGTAACAAATGAGCAAACTCGAGGATGAGATTGGATCCCAGCTCTCACTTCCCCCGTGTGTATGGCGCTAGCTAGGGCCTTCGGGTCTACTCATTTCGTTTTGCTGAGTTACGGAGGAGGTGGCTTCGGCCCCATGGCTGCAGAGCTAGGACTGGACCTGATAGGAGGAGACGCAGTCCCCAGAGGACTGGCTAGGAAGCAGTCAGTTCTGCGCCTGTCTCTGACTTCTCTGACCTGGCTCCAGGGGAAGCCGTCCCAGCTGCAGTCCCAGTTCCGCCTCACGTACACCATGATCCTCAACCTGCTGCGGGTGGATGCCCTCAGGGTGGAAGACATGATGAAGAGGAGCTTCTCTGAGTTCCCGTCTCGCAAGGACAGCAAGGTGAGGAGGTTGGGGTGGCCCGTATACAGGGCAGAGGTTGGACAAAGAGGGCATCTCGGGGCCACTGGGTGAAGGGTCGACCCGGCCTGGAAGTTCTCATTTCACAGCCTCCCCTCACTTCTGCCCAGATCCATGAACAGACGCTGGCTGAGCTGACCAAGAAACTGGAGGCCTTGGAGGAACCTGACGTGACCAGCCAACTGGTCGACCTGCCCGAGTATTACAGCTGGGGGGAGGAGCTGACGGAGACCCGGAACATGATCCAGGTGAGGGAGTGTGTGTGTGTGTGCGTGTGTGTGTGCGCGCGCGTGTTGGGGACTTGATGGGGGAGGGAGGAAGAGAGGGGATTGCCGTGGGTGCTCCTGAACGTGGCTGCTGTGTCCCTGTGACACCTCCCATGTCCTCTGTGTGTGCGTGTTGGGAACTTGATGGGGGAGGGAGGAAGAGGGGATTGCCGTGGGTGCTCCTGAACGTGGCTGCTGTGTCCCTGTGACACCTCCCATGTCCTCTGTGCATTTCCCTGCTCTTAGCGCCGTATCATGGAGTCTGTGAATGGGCTGAAATCTCTCTCGGTGGGAAGGGTGGTGGTTGTGAAGAATCAGGAACATCACAATGCCCTAGGTGTGATCCTGCAGGTGAGGGCACCGAGAACTGGGGCCCAGAGGGTGGGGCAGGGAGCGAGGGAGAGCCCTGTCCCACTGTCCCCCTGGCTGGGCAGGCTGCAGTCACCGCAGTGCTTCTCCTTGCTCTCCCTTCGCTTCTTCTCATCCCCACTACTTCATTCCCGACCCATGCTCCCCGACGTCTGATCTCATGGTTTCACTTGTTCGCTTCCATACTGCCGGGCCCTGCCTGGTTGCTCCCTGAGGACGGGGGTCGGGTCTCTACCTCCGATGTCCACTCCCAGCCCCGTCCCGGCCTCCTGCCTCCCCAGGTCTCCTCGAACAGCAGCAGCAGAGTATTCACAACCCTGGTCTTGTGTGATAAGCCTGTGTCTCAGGAGGCACAGGACAGGGCACCGGCCACTCCAGAGGTGCCTCACCCAGATGATCTCGTGGGATTCAAGCTGTTCCTGCCTGAAGGTGAGAGGGAGGCCCGTGCCCAGCCCGCTGATGGTGTAAGCAGGACGCCTGGTCCTCAGTGGTGTCAGACTTGCTCTCCCCTTTGCTCAGGGCCTTGTGACCACACCGTGGCCAAGCTCCAGCCAGGAGACGTGGCCGCCATCACCACGAAGGTGCTCCGGGTGAATGGGGAAAAGATCCTGGAGGACTTCAGCAAGAGGCAGCAACCAAAATTCAAGTCAGAGATGCTGGGGAGGCCCTCCTTCTGGGGAGGGGCGTAGTACGAGGTTGGGGGACCTGTGGGGTGGGGGGCCCCCTAGCCTGAAGGGACACCAAGTGGGGAGGATGTGGTAAGGGTGAGGGGTCCCTTAGTCCGAGGACCTGCCAAAGCTCAAGACCTGCACCGTCTTCAGGAAAGATCCTCCCCTTGCGGCCGTGACCACTGCTGTGCAGGAACTGCTGCGTCTGGCTCAGGCCCACCCTGCAGGACCCCCGACCCTTGACCCTGTTAACGACCTGCAGCTCAAGGACGTGTCAGTGGTAGAGGGCGGGCTCCGGGCCCGGAAGCTGGAGGAGCTGATCCGAGGGGCTCAGTGTGTGCACAGTCCCCGTTTTCCTGCCCAGGTAGGGCCCTGCAGGCTGGCTCCAAGCTCTCCTCTCTGCTCCCCTTGGACTGGCTGCCCCATCTCAGCCCTTATCCTCGGTGCTCCCCTGCTGAGCGGGGAGGACAAGGCAGATGGGCTCCTGAGGGTGGCTCTCTGCAGTATGTGAAGCTGCGGGAGCGAATGCAGATACAGAAGGAGATGGAGCGGCTACGCTTCCTGCTGTCTGACCAGTCACTGCTGCTGCTCCCCGAGTACCACCAGCGAGTCGAGGTGAGAGGGGCAGGGGCAGGGGCTGCGGGTCCAACAAGGGAGAGAACTGCAGGCTCCCCAACTCCCACCCTCTACTGCAGGTGCTCCGAACCCTGGGTTACGTGGACGAGACGGGCACCGTGAAGCTGGCGGGGCGGGTGGCTTGTGCCATGAGCAGCCATGAGCTGCTCCTCACGGAACTCATGTTCGACAACGCACTGAGTGCCCTGCGGCCTGAGGAGATTGCGGCCCTGCTCTCCGGTCTGGTCTGCCAGAGCCCCGGGGACCCTGGGGATCAGCTCCCTAGCACCCTCAAGGAGGTAGGAGACACCACCCTTCTCTGCTTCCTAGTCTGTGGGAGTCCCCAGGTGAAGCCTCCACACTGTGAGTGTCGCTAAGAGTGGCAGTGGCCTCCCTGTCCTGGGCTGCCCTGTCCTGGAGCAGGAAAGCAGGCCTAAATCTTCCCCTCCCCTTGCCCCTCCGCAGGGAGTGGAACGTGTCCGGGCTGTGGCCAAGCGGATTGGTGAGGTCCAGGTAGCCTGCGGCCTGAACCAGACGGTGGAAGAATTTGTGGGAGAACTGAACTTCGGGCTGGCTGAAGTTGTGTACGAGTGGGCCCGGGGCATGGTGAGTACCTGGAGGCTGGGTGCTGCAGAGGGCTGGCCGGGGACAGGCTGCCCTGGCCAGGCACATCCAGCCCTCACTCTGCTCTCCTCGTAGCCCTTCTCCGAGTTGGCAGGGCTCTCGGGGACCCCCGAAGGCCTCGTGGTCCGCTGCATCCAGCGGCTGGGGGAGATGTGTCGCTCGCTGCGGGGACATCGTTTTTTTGGCCAGCCTCTACACCCAGTGAATGACCCTCTGTAAAAATGTAACAGTAAACAGCAAACCACCTGTGTCCTTGAGGTGTCAGGCAGGGATGGAACCACTGAGAAGCAGGCCTTTATTATCTGCAGACAGGACCAGCCCCTCGGAAGCATCAGTCCTTGGGAGAGGGTGTCTTGGGGGGTGACGGCGGGTCCTGGGTCATGGCTTCCACGTACCACGTGGGCAGGAAGGCATGGGGAGCACCCTGATGTACAGACACGGTGACGGGGCCGCCGGGCTCCCAGGAGAAGAGGTGGACGAGCCTGGGGGGCAGACGAGGCACAGGCTGAGCGCCAGAGTGGAGCCACTGGGACCCAGAGGGGAGGGGGGGGGCGGG